TAACACCCTTAATTCAATCATGAAATTACCCACTCATGTCAGCTATACCCAAAACCCCTTTTACCTTGGTCCAAAGTGACCAGGGTTATTTAACCAAATAATCTAGAAATGATCAGCTATAGCCACATAGGAATCTCAACATAATTTGAATTAGAATTAATCCTAATCGAAGCTATTATAGACTACTACTATGATTTGGACGGAATTTAAGAACCAAAATTGACAGAATTCCTAAATTATGCTACTGATTATTAAGTAAACAAAATTATGAATCTAACACAACAAAAATTAAGAAAAACAGATTCGTGCTATCAATTAGAACTCAAAAAAAATGAAACGAACAAGTATGGNGAAGTCAGACATACAAAATATGAATCAAACCGAATCGAAATTAATTCTAAGAAAATTGAAGAGATGAACAGAAAAATCAAATTTAACTAAACTAATCAAAAATTAAAGAACTAAATATTGAATTAATAAGGCTCACTGAAAATTGAAACAGAACAAAAAGATTTCTAAAGAACTAGGGAATACATGAACTAAACACCGAGTTAACCAACAGAAAAATCATAACAAAATCCACAAAACAAAAATTAAACTAAAATAACACAAAACAGAATCAACAAACAAAATAATCGAATAAGAAGGAACAACTCACTGATTTTGGTCTTCTATTCGATTAATTCTCGAAATTGATTTTTTGTTAATGTTATATGCTTATTTTGTTAAAATAAAACATATAACATTAATAAAAAAATCACTCGAGTACTGAAACTCCCAAAACAGTGTTGAAACTTGAAAACCCTAGATCTAAAATTTTTAGGGTTTCGCTTGGATTTGAAGGATTCTAGTTGCGGATTTAGGAAAAGGAGGGTGAGTGGAGTATATGGTGTTAATTTGGGGCCATTTGGTGGTGGCGCCGCCGTGGGCGGCAGAGGCGGCGTCACTGTTTTGAATATTCGAAAAGATGGGCTATGAGTTGAGGGAAAACATTTGGGGCGTTGGAAAGAGGAGGGGTAGAGGAGTCGAGAGTGTAAATTTGGGCGAGTTTGGAGACCGGCCGCCGCCGTGAGGCGATTTCCGGCGGCGGTTCGCGGCGGAAGACGGTGAGGGTTAGGGTTTGAGTGTGGGGTAATGAGAGACGGAGAAGGGGGTAGGGGGGAATCTCCAACCGTTTTATATTAAAATATCCCTAGTTCCTGACCGTTGGATCAAGGATCCTCGACGGCCAGGATCTAGCGTGACAAAACGACGCCGTTTTTGAATTAAAATGGGCGGACCGGTTGAGGGTATGGATCTGGGCTGATTTTGAAATGGGTTTGGGGTCTGGGCTTGAGTTTTTGAACAAAGATGGCCCAATTCCGGGTCCTTAACAAGAAGACTTCCTTTTCTTTTAAAAATCTTTTATTCAAAATTATTTATTTTATTTTGATTTTGATTTTGTTGGATAGAAGTAGACTTGATTTAAATCTACAGTTGAACTAATTAAATTTCCTAAGATTAGCTAAATACCAATTTAAAAAGAAAGCTAAATAAAAAATGTAAAATGACAAATTTGTTATTTTCCTCTTATTTTTTTATGATGTTAATTAACTAAAAATCTAGAATTGGGTCCTAAGTGCAAGTGGGCTATTTTTTATATTTTTATGAATTATATCAAGCTAAGAATGCACACAAAATGCAAACAAGATACAAAATCATGCAATTAATTCCTAAAAATAAAAGAAAATTCTAATTCTAATGAATTTATAGGAGCAATTTAAGCATGGAAAAAATCACGTGCTCACAGCTGCCCCTCTTTGCTCGAAGACACGAAGGGTTTTCCGGCAAAGATAAATGAGCACCATGAAGGATTTTTGCCTACTCAGCACTCCATGAGAAGCATTTTGAAAACCGTCTGACCGGACCCTGCTTCAAAGGTTGCCTACATATCCTTGGCTATAAAGGAACCAGGTCAGTGTAGTTCTGGAAAGTTTGGTAGCTAGGACTACCTGGAGCTGTGATTTCACTACTGTTGCTGCTGCTACTGCTTGCTGACCTCTTTATTACACCAAAAGAAAATCAAAAGCTAAGCTAGCTAGGCCTATCAACTATGAGTTACAAGATTCCTATCTATAAATCTCTTGAAACTTGATCTTGAGTCTTAGCTGATTTTGCTGTGGACTCCGATCTGAATCTTGATGCTCGCAAGTTGTAGGTGTTGTTTCCTTCTGCAGCATTGGGTCAAAACGGGATCGGCGGAGCTTGTGACTACAATCAGATTTTGAGCAATCCGCACCCTTGTTTGCTTCAACATTTTGAATTCATTTCTTTTTGTTCTTTTCTTCTTTTCTTTATTCTGGATTGAGACTCATTCCATCGGTCGTCTCGCACCCCTGTGCCTCAGTGTTAGACCTGCTTAAGACACCAAAACAAACAAATGAACGAAATTTTCTGCCCCAGTTTTCACTAGGAAAATTTCGTGAGTTAGTTGTGACACATATCTAAGCGATCAAATCAGGATTGTGTAGGGAGATCCTCGATTTTTGGCCGGGATTTGGAAAGAAAAAGCTCCTCGGTTTTTTGGCCGGGATTAGGAAAGAAAAAGCTCCTCGATTTTTTGGCCGAGATTTGGAAAGAAAAGGCTCCTCGGTTTTTTGGCCGGGAGATCCTCGGTTTTTTGGCAGGGATTTGGAAAGAAAAGGCTCCTCGGTTTTTTTGCCGGGAGATCCTCGGTTTTTTCCCGGGATTTGGAAAGAAAAAGGCTCCTCGGTTTTTTGGCCAGGAGATCCTCGGTTTTTTTGCCGGGATTTGGAAAAGAAAAAGCTCCTCGGTTTTTTTGGCCGGGAGATCCTCGGGTTTTTGGCTGGGATTGGAAAGAAAAAGCTCCTCGGTTTTTCGGTCGGGAGATCCTCGGGTTTTTTTTGGCCGGGATTTGGGAAAGAAAAAGGTCCCTCGGTTTTTTTGGCCGGGAGATCCTCGGTTTTTGGCCGGGATCTGGAAAGAAAAAGCTCCTCGGTTTTTTGCCGGGGGATCCTCGGTTTTTTTGGCAGGGATTTGGAAAGAAAGGCTCCTTGGTTTTTTGGCCGGGAGATCCTCGGTTTTTTGGCCGGGATTTGAAAGAAAAGGCTCATTGTTTTTTTGGCCGGGAGATCCTCGTTTTTCGGCCGGGATTTGGAAAAAAAAAAAGGCTCCTCGGTTTTTTGGCCGGGAGATCCTCGGTTTTTTGCCGGGATTTGGACAGTAAAAGGTCTCCTCGGTTTTTGGCCGGGAGATCTAAGGAATGGGATCCTATGCACATGATTTGTTTTCTTTTGGGATTTCATTTTTATTCCTTTTCTACTTTCTTTTCTTTTGTTTTCCTCTTTATATTGTTTTCCTTTTATTTAGAAAACGCATGAAAGAATTTGGAGGGGGGGGGGGGAGGGAAAACTTCCTTTTTGGTCGTTTTCCTGCTGCAAAACTGTTTTCAAGCGCTCGCATTCCATTTCTTTTGGGTCCACCTGCTTGTTGCACGGTTGCTCTGAAATAAGAACTGTTTCCAACAAAGAACAATTTATTAGTTCGAAACGGTGGTTGGTTTTTTTGTGGCCCTTGAATATCCCAATTGCTTGATCCCGGCCCCCTTTCCATTGAGAAACTTTGCTGCTTGTTGGCCTTGAGGGTGAATCTCTTTTTCAAAACCGCCCGGGTTCAACTCTCAGGATTTCATTATGACTCGCCCGTGTGGGCTCTGGCCTTTTTCGCTTTATTCTGCCCTTGCCTTTGATTTTCTTTCTTTTCCAATGTCTTTGCTTCGAATCATCAACCATTATGGTCAGTCGGGGTTGATGGGGCCTGACGCATCGCTGAGGCTGGGTATTTCTTCGACTTGACCAGGCGGGAGCCCTGTGAAACCGGTCCTGCCACTTTCTTTGTACTAGTTACGGAATCAGAATTAAACCGAAAGGGATTCAAAGAGAAGTATGCAAAGAGGCAATCATATGAGTTTAAAGAGAAGCGTCCCTTTCGGGGAAAAGAAGGACTTATCTGGGCGTGTGCATGCTGGCTTCAAATGAACATGACATGCTTCTTGGACTGGATGACCACACAAACTTTCCGGCTTCTCGGTAGAACCCATTGATCCGCATTTTCAAAACCAGGGAACCTTGCCAGGATTTTTTAGTGATGAGATGTCTTCTCTTCGACTGACAGCGCCCTTTTGCGGGTTTTCGCCAATGAACCTCTCTCATTCTCTCTTCTCACCGTCGCCCGATAGTGCTCTTTGCGAGTTTTCACTAAGCGGACTCTCTCATTTTCAGTTTCTCTACTCACCATTCGCCTTATGGTGCCCGAAGGTTTTTTCACCGATAAGACTCTCTCATTTTATTTCTTCAATTTGGACTATACCAGCTTTCCAACAATGTTTGCTTTTCAATTCCCACGCCTTCGTCAATTGATCGGAAGACTCAAGCGAGGTCTTTGGGGTTAAAAGGAAATTTTGGGCGGAACTACAACTTTGGAACCATTTCGGCGGAATTTCATGGCCGAACCATTATATCATCTGCCCCAGTTTCATTTTTGGGGGAATTGGGATTTTTGTTTGGTGTGACTGAACTCAGCGAGAGCTGCCTACGTATCCTTTCGGAATCAAGTCAAACGGTAGTTCAGGGAAACAAATTTTTGTTTTTGTTTTTGTTTTTGTTTTATTTTTCTTTTTCTTTTCTTTTTCTTTCTCTTTCTTTTCTCTTCTTCTTCTTTTTCATCATATTCTTTTTTTTGTTTCGATAATAATTTCGGGTTCCAAAAGAGGGTAGCCAAAGGACAGTAACCGGCTCAAATGGGTTTAACGTACGGGTTGATTAGGATTGATAAGCGGGAAGAAAAGCGCTTCGTTCATCTCAATTGCACAAAGACCAACACATAGAGACCTAGAACATAGTACTTTTTTACTGCATCCGCATTCACAGCTGTTTCAGGATCAATTCCCTTCGACAGTCTCCCAGATAACAATGCTCCTCTTGGCAATATCTTCCGGATTAATGTATGGACCTTTGCCAATTAGGGGCGAACTTCCCTTTTGCTATCCTGGTGATGAGGGAGAATGCGGTCTGAGTACCAGCTGTCCCACTTCAAAATTCCTGGGGACGTCACTTTCTTGTTATAGGCGCCGGGCCATCATTCTTTGTTGGTATAACTGCCCCGTGACAAACTGCGGCCGATTGCCGTTTTTCATTTCAATTAATTGACAATTGCTCTAGTCGGGTTTTAAACGCCACTCACTGTCCTCAATCTCCGCCTCAACGATTATCCGAAGTGAAGGAATTTCTACTTCTGCAGGTATTGACTGCTTCAGTAACGTAAACCAGCAAGTACGGTGTTGCCTCCAATTGATGTACGTACTGTGGTACGATACCCGAGTAATGCGAAAGGTAGCTTTTCATGGCCATTGCCTGGAAGCTTTGAATCATCTTTCTCAAAAATCTTCTTGATGTTCTTATTTGCTGCTATCGACAGCACCGTTGGCTTTTTGGCCGATAAGGAGTGGAGTTTCTATGCGTTATCTTGAATTGTTCACATTACCTCTCCCATCAGACGAATGTTCAAGTTTGTAGCGTTGTCGTAGATGACATAGATAGTTTCAGGAGGTCCAAAACGGCAAATGAGATTGGAGTGCACGAAGTCTACCACAGCTTTCTTGGTGACTGACTTGAGAGTGATGGCCTCAACCCATTTTGTGAAATAGTCAATTGCCACCAATATGAATCTATGCCCCATTCGAAGCTTTCGGCTCGATCGGCCCCAATGACATCCCTACCCCAAGCAACAAACGGCCCAGGTGCTGACATCGGCTGGCGCTCTGTTGGAGCGCATGAATCAAAATCACCGTGCACCTGACCATTGATGGAATTTTCGAACAAAAGCTGAAACAGTCCTTTTCCATAGTTATCCAGTAATACCCGGCTCGAAGAATTTTCTTTGCCAGCACATAAGCCATTCATAATGATGTCGCATACTCCTACGTGCACTTCATGCATAATTTTTCCGGCTTCCTCGCGTCAACACATCTTGCAAGTTGAGGTCCGGGGTCCTTTTATACAAAACGTCACCACTTAAGAAGAAACCGCTCGCATGCCGTCTAATGGTTCTTTTCTGGTCTCCAGTGGCTTGCTCGGGTATTCCTGTGTTTTCAGAAATCTCTTGATATCATTGATACCAGGGCTGACTGCTGGGTTCCGCCTCAAACCGCATTACAAATACCCGTGGCTTTTCTTAGGTTTGGAATTCGGCTGGGTCAATATGGGCATTGCTGGGTAAGGCAGCCATTGAGAGCTAGTGTTGGCGAAGTGCATAGCTAGTTCATTGTGACACCGTAGGGATATACCTGAACTCTATCGACTTGAAGGCTTTTGTGGTGAGATCTTCCACATGCTGTCGATAAAGGAATGAAGCTTAACATCTCGAGTCTTTTTTAGCCACTCCCCCTGGGCTTGCGGGGATAATTCAAAATCGGAGTTCCCCATGATTAATAAATCTTTCAAACATCCTTGGTCAATTGCCATATTCAATGCCCATGATACAGGTTGTACTCAGCTCGTATTGTTTGTGCAAAGAATCGGAAGCTAGCTGTAGCTGGGTTAGTGCTGACCATTGTGGTGAATATCAAGATTGCCCAATGCCCTACACCTCTTGCATTTACTGCTCCTCATCAAAGAACAATTTTCCAAGCACGAGTGTCCTCGAGAGATGGCTTTTCTACTGAAATTTACCTCCTCCATACCGGGAAATAGGTGTTAAATGGTTGGTATTCCTCTGTCAACCGGGTTTTCAGCCAAATGAAATCTGCCAACGCTGGCTTCATTGCCTGTGCGATGTAACATAGACTATGTCAAATTCATGAGCAAAGATTTTGCCATTTTGCCAGCCTCCCGTGGCATCGGTTTCTGGAATATGTATTTCAAGGGGTCCAACCTGGTTTATTAGATAGGTGGGTTGGGCTTGAAGAATAATGTCTCAACTGTTTGAGCCGACCCACGTCAGAAGCCAGCATTTCTTCCAACAAAGTGTAATTTGGCCTATAGCTAGTGACTTCTTGCTCAGATAGTAAATTGCCTCTCTTTTCTTCCGGTTATATCATGCCCTGCCCGAGGACAACAGCCGAAGAATTTTCCATCACTGATCAGATACAAAAAGAGAGGTCGCCCATTGCTCCGGTGAGCCCAATAAACTGGAGGATTTGACAATATTCCTTATCTTGTCAAAGGCCTCTTGACATTCAGGTGTCTCATTTGATTGCCGCATCTTTCTTTACAGTTTGTTTTGAATATGGGCCTCACAGGTGTAGTCCCAGTTGACGATTGAAATCGACTGATATAGGTTTAACCTGCTCAATAAGCTTATCACATCTGTTCTTAGTTCTTGGAGGAGGTAAATCTCGACATGGCCTTTATCTTTTGTGGATCGTAACTCAATACCTCTCCTGCTGACTATAAACCCAGTAGCTTGCCCCTGATGGGACTGTCCGGAAAGCGCATTAGCTGGGATTCAAACTTCAGATCATACTTGCGGCAACCGGTCTGAAAGAACTTTCTCAAATCTCGAACGTGGCTCACTACTGAGTTCGGACTTTAATGATTACATCATCCACATACACCTACTTTTCTTGATGCATCATATGTGGAAAATGTGGTCATGAGGCTCTCATATAAGTCGCACCCAGCATTCTTCAGGCCCAAAGGGCCACATGACCCGATAACAGTAGGTTGCCCCAGGGTGTAGTGAAAGCCTGTCTTCTCAGCATCTTCTTCATCCATCAACACCTGATGATATCCTGCGTAGCAATCCACGAAGGACTGTATCTTCATTTTAGGCGCAGGTTATCAACAAGGATGTGAAGTAAGGTAACGGGAATTGTCTTTTGGGACCTTCCTGTTCAAATCTCGGTAATCCCACACACACTCGGGTTTTCCCGTCTTCTTTGGCACTGGAACCACATTGCTCGCCATGTAGTATATGGACCATCGAAATGACCCCTGCTTCAACTGTTTTTCGTAATTTCTTCTTTGATCCTTATCACTGATATCAGTTTTAGAACTTCCTTTGCTTTTGCTGTACTGGAGCACCGGGGTAAATTGGCAATTTGGTGCACCACTAGGATCCATACTCATCCTGGATGTGCAATACGACCAAGCAAACACATCTTTAAATTCGAACAGGAGTTGGAATTATTGGCATCTCGAGTTTGCTCATATGTGTGGAATCTTATTTTGGTTTCCCTTATTTCTTCGGCATGTTTCCAAATTACCGGTTCAGTGTTCATTCAAGTTTGGTTAAGGTTTTTTCAATTGTTCCAATTCTCGATTTATTTCCTTAAAGCCTCTTCTTCATCATATTCCGTGTTCTTGATTCCATTATTTCAACAATTAGACAGCGTGTTTTTTTGAGTCTGGGCATGGAAGTCCCGCAAGCATGTCATGTTATTTAAAGCCGTGTTAATTATAACTGAAAAGAAAAGATGAAAAGCGGAAAAATAA